GCTTCTTGGTTTAGTAAATTCGATTTATATGGTTTTTACTCACTACTACATCTAAATAATTCAAAGGCTCATTTAGATAGCGCAGAATTTCCTGACAAATTTTTCTTGCAGTGTTTGTTATTTCGCTTAAATTCATTTTCATGTTCACGAAACGAAACATTAGAAGGCAAAAATATGACTTTTTTAAAAAATTCGATTTCTCAGGAACTATTCGACCGATTTCGCTCAAATTTTGTATTTCGGCATGTAAAATTAAATTATTTTAAATGATGCAAAAAATTGCATACTTTACAATTCAAAAAATTTTCAACCATTCTAATTCCAATAAAATAATAAATATTTACTAAAAGTTATTTTTTACATGGAATTATCTTTGAATAAACGAATTTGTCGAGATATAGGAAAATACGCAACATTAAGAGGTCTAAATTTTGGACTGCTCTTCTTACCAAATTATTGGGACCATATTTCCGAGATTGTGGTACTCCCTATATTTTGGGGTACAAAGATCCGAATCCGTCGAAAAAAAGATATGTTTATTCAGAGAAAGTACGTTTCTGTGTCTGATTTTGTATCTTTAAATATTGGCTGCGTTTATTTATTTATTAGCATATTTGAGGTCAGCCCTTCAAACCATTAAGATGGAGTCCTAGATAGTAAGGATCCAATCATTAGATCAAAAGTTATTCATGATGGTCCGTTTTTAATTTTGCAGCCTGTACTTGATATTTTTGGTGTACTTGATATTTTAAATTGTATAATATTTATAATATTATATTGGATAATATTATAAATATTTTACCAACATTTGAAATGATGTTTGAAACGAAATATTAATGGTGTAAAAATACTTGCAGAATAAATAAGGCAAGTTAAAAAGAATCAAACAACCGACATACAAAACATACAAACAACCGACATTTAGACATACAAAAAAAGGAAAAAAGAAATCAGTAAGAAGTATAAATGCGTAATTAACTGTCACCCCCTTTAAGTATTGAGTTTTTCCAAAAGACACACTTAGTTGACACTTAGAAATCTAGTATATATTTATAGGTATAGTTGTAGGTATATATATAGTTATAGTTAATTTTATAGGTGTCAATTCTCACGCAGCTGTAGTTTCTTTACAATATAATATGTAAATAAAGTATTGTATCTGTAAAATGTTCAAAGTTTGTTTTATATTTGTTACCACTACTAAATTTTTTAAGACAACGACCAGATTAAGCTTTCTGTTTAATTGTTAACACTTTATTTATTAGCATATTTATTTTAATTTGAATAATTTTACAAAAGAAATTTATTTATTCAAGACTGTTTTTAACATTTTATTTATTGAATTCACTGGATTTTTTTTACAGTGGCAAATTTAATAACATCTTATCATTTAACTTACTTTAAGGTTTTTATTTCTGATGGAATTATATTATTTTTGTAAAGCAGTTGCATTAAAATACCTCTCAGATATCAACTATTAATGCTTTTTGGCTGACATTTAATATTGATTTAAGAGTCATTTAGTAAAATCAAAACCAAATTCGATTTTAAAAATAAATCATCTTTCTTAAAATTAAATTAATATAAAATTTCAGTTCTTCTCGTTTTGAAATAGTTTTTTTTAAAAATAATGTATAAATATTTACAAAGTTAAAAACTCGATTGTAATAGATTTCTATTCTGTTGTAAGTGGTAGTATAACAACAATTAAGGTAATAAGGTACAATCATTAAACTACAACAACAATCCCTTATGGTTGTCAGGCCCTACATATTTATTTAAATTATTAATAAATCGTGGCGGTTAAAATCGTTGTAAAGCAAGTTTACCAAATCACAACTCAAAAACATAAAGCACAAAAATGGGTTTATTATATTTTAAAATTAAATAAAATAAATATTGTTGGAGGTTATTTACTAAAGATAATATTTCGAGACTGAAATGAATTTCAATTTATTTTTCATTATCTCATTTTATTTACTCTTTTATAAGTAACAATAGATTAAATGTTTAATTTTATGACTGATGTATACTAGCTCCATGACATGTCTACACTAGCCTCGTATCATGGAAATAGTGTAGACAAGAACATCTTTTTTTTAAAAAAAAATATATATATTATTAAAAAAGTACTTTTTCACATTAGCTATTGTTTCTTTTAAAAATTAAGATAACCGTTCAAATTTTAATGAGAAAAATATTATAGGTGCTTAAAATAATGGTTATTATGTTTTTTTTGTTGGCAAAATAACGAAAAGTGTCCCCAGGAGACCCCTTTCCCTTATCTATTAATCTTTACTATTTAATTTAAAAATAGTTGAAAAATGCCAGAATTATAAAACTTCCAAATTTTTACAGCATTTTAAGCTATGTAATTTCAATTCATAAAATTGAAAATTTTATTTTATTTCATAACCGTCATTGTATAGCCGACCAAATTTTTGGGTTTACGACTACTAATCTTCAATTCCGTAGCCTTGTAATTTTGAACCCAATCCAAAAGACAAGGGAATTCCTGGATAAAGTATTGGGTAAAATTTACCATCGTGGAGGAATTTATGATGGAACTAACCCGAATTTGCCTTACATGGGAAGGAAAATCGCGAAACCTTCCACGGTTAGCCCGACGGAAAGGGGACTCAAACCCATGATCCGTCCGCCATTGAGGATATTTGAGACATTTTTGGGGGTTCTTTAAATCTACTTTTTTTGCGGATCCCTAAGAAAGTGGATAACTTAGTATCGAATTAGAATTTAGCTTAATCAATACATTTATCGCGGGTATTTTCAATTGTCTCTTTTTGCAGACTTCTAGGAAAGAGTATGACTTAGTATCGAATTATATTTCAGCCTAATCGATACATTTATCGCGGTCTTTTAAATTTTCTCTTTTTGCGGACTTCAAGGAAAGAGGATAATTTAGTTTCGAATTAGATTTCAGTCTATTTGATACATTTTTCGGAGCCTTTAACTTTTTTTTAAAGGTCCCCTAAGAAAGTGGATAACTAAGTATCGAATAAGATTTTAGCCTCATCGATACATTTATCGCAGGTTTTTCAATTGTCTCTTTTTGCAGACTTCTAGGAAAGAGTATAACTTAGTATCGAATTATATTTCAGCCTAATCGATACATTTATCAATTAGGCTGAATCGATTAGATTAATCATTAATCGATTACATCTGACATTAATCGATTTTAAATTTTCTCTTTTTGCGGACTTCCAGGAAAGAGGATCATTTAGTTTCGAATTAGATTTGAGCCTATTTGATACATTTTTTGGACCCCTTTAACTTTCTTTTTAATTCCCCTAAGAATGTGGATAACTTAGTATAGATTTATATTTCAGACAAAACGATGCATTTTCGGGAGCCTTGAAATTTTCTCCTTTTTTTGTTACCCCTAAGAATTGAATTAAATTTTAATCTAATTTATTGAAATTTGATTTTATGACTCTCTTATCGAATTTCATTCCTCTTTTTGAGGTTACAAAAATATTACTTAAATATGGACAGCTTAAAAAAATTTTTTTTTTGTCTTTATTATTAGTATTTTTGGTTTTAATTTCAAATTACGGCTTATTGTTTAATTTTTATGAATGACATTTCCCACATAGATAGAAGTGAGGAAGTTGGGTTTAAAAACCCACGCTTTAATTATCACGAAAAATGATTTAAATATATCTTATTTTCTAATTTTGTGATTTTGATATCTATGAATAGAAATGAGACCGAAGTCTGGAGTTGTGTTGAAAGTTATTTGATCTTATACGTATTTTTAATAATAGAAAATTTCAATTGCTAAACTAAATTTGAAAAAAGAAAAAATTATTTAAGGGACGTTACTGGCGAGCAGTCCCGTAGTGCTTTAAAAATGTTGAGCCTGTTGACAAATGCCTCACCCTTACAATAGCTCTGCCTTCGATGATATAAAAATATGTGCTCCTTACAATTCGAATTTTCGATTATTAAATTTAAAAAAAATACATATTTTGTACTTACATTTTTATTTGGATAAATTAGTTTTACAATTGCGGGCAAAATCATTTGATTCGCTCAAGTAGTTACATAAATATAGCAGAATACGTAAAAATTGAAATTGACAATAAAGAGATTCTTGATAAATTCTTAAGGATAGAATAAATTCTTGACCGTTTTCTTGACTAAAATTTCATAACAGTGGCTCCCCCCCCCCAAAAAAAATATATTTATAGATCAAAACTTTTAATAGAGCATAAAAAAATGAAAAAAAAGCAATGCTTATTAAGAAAAAAGTACATTCTTTTTTTAAAAAAATTGCAATTTAAAATATCGTCTGCACTACGATCTTCAATAAGTTTGCATGTAAGCATGCCATAATTAGATTAAAAGTAAATAACTATAATTTTTTTCTTTTGCGCATCTTGTGTGTATATTTTAAATTATTGCGCTGAAAAAAAAGAAGAAAGAAAACAGTCGAATAAAATAGTAATTTTTAGTTTTTATAAACTAGTTTATTAGTCGCAGTTAATGTATGCATAAAATTGATGATATAACAGTAATGGAAAATTTTTAATACTCATTCAAACGTAACTGTTACATAAATGATGTAACTAATTAGGTTAAATAAAATAAATGACATAGATCCATGTGCTATTTTATGCATTACCAACAGTTAGATTTTTCACACAATGAAACTCTTTTCTATTTAATTTCAATTTCACGGTAGAAAGTGCACAATTAGATTTTCTTTTTACACATCTGGTGCACATCATCGAAACACAAACTTTTTTCCCACAGTTAACGACTTTTTTTTTTAAAAAATAAATAAATATTAATGTGATGAGAAAAATACTCCTAAATTATATCCATTACATACGTTTCAGTGTTGTTGTAAGTTGTTTTTTATTTTATTTTTCCTCTGAAGAAACGGGAAAATATTTTTATTCTTTTAAGAAGTTTTTTTTTTCTTCTCAAATCCGATCCATTCATCTGTAACGATATCTTTTTTACGCACTATTTAGGTTGGAAAAGATGAGATTAGAAGAAAACAAGAAAAGCAACAATGAGGAAATTAATGCCGATGACGAACAAGAGATGGCGCTCGAACCAGAAAGAGAATCGTCTATCGACTCGCAAGTTTCTGTTTCTTCTCAGTCTGCAAACAGCAGTGGTGGAGTTGTGAACTCAGGATACTCGCGTGATTCCGATGAGGAGGAATGTTTTGTTGACATCCGAATTCCATCGCAAGACAACGCTGGTGATCATCAGAATCTTGACAGTGCGGTGAACAGATATCTATCATCGTCTACTGAGTGGTGTTTTGTAAGAAGATATCCTTTGAGGATATCTCCTCGTTCACCGCGTATTGTGAGGCTGACTCCTCGTCGTTTGTGGTTTGAACGACACTGGGGAACGGGTCTCCCTGAGGATGACCGACGGGAACAGTCTCCTCCAGCAAAAGAATTAGGTCATAATTCCGATTCGTCTGATCTGTTCAACAAGAAAATAGTGCATAATATTGGTGTGTTCTATTCCGATACTGATCTATGCAGGGATCCAACCGAGGACCCAGTGGACGATGTGCCGTCGGTTAAAAAAGAGATAGGTGCTGCTGACAGCATGACTAGCAACAATGCGGGTAATTTGGGGGAGGGTATGAACCCTTCCCATGATCAACACCCGCGACGTTCGTCCAACAGTTGCAGGAGTACAAGACGCCTTCAAACTCATACACAACTTACACAGGATACCTTTGTTCCCTTGCCGGATAATCCACAACCGGATAATGCCATTAATAATAGTGCACTGCCGGATATACTAAATTCACATCTTCCACCGCCTTATTCAACTTTACCCCCCGGATCAGGAGACCGGGGCGGCGGACGAAGATTACCGCCACCCTCTCACCCACCTCCCCCACCACCCCCTACGACAGCCCCGGCATGTCCACACTTATCTGCAAATCCCCGCAGGACGTCGAGGACTGGGGCTGGCCGCAGTGGGGCTTTTAGGGGCTTCAGCCCTCGGGAGCGGGGTGGAAGAAGGGGCGGCCCCAGTTTTTCGGGTCCCCCTGCAGCCTCTGAATCTGACGAACCTAAACATTGTTGTGGGGTAATGGTCACCCAAACAGTCAGTATTCGGTGGTTTATTGTTATGATAGCTTTTGTAGGACTTTGTTGTGCCATAGTTGGTACTGTTCTTGGTGCTCTTAAAGCCACTGGGAGAGAACACCTGACAGTTTCCTTGCTCATGATTGGTAAGTTACTTTTCAACTTATTTCCTTACTAATACCTAGAATTTTATTTACTTATATTAATTAAGATTGCTTTTCAATGCTTATGTGACACAAACCAATTGATAATTCTCAATTTTTGCAAATCTTTATGAGTCTAAACAATGCAGCATTGGAATAACTTTTCAAATCATAAACGCTTTTTATTTTCACAAAATTAAAGTAATTCTAGACGTTTTTCATTTTTACAAAACTGCAACTTTTCTTCATTCATAATGACATTTTGCGCCATTTTCATGTTAGTACAGGAGACGCTGGTTTAAGATAGACAAAACTTAATCTAACAGCCATGATTAATTGTTACTAATTCATAATAGTTGTTGGAACTGGTTTAAGATAGACAAAACGTAACAGCACAACTCACAATAGTTGTAAAAATAGCATATTATTCGTAACAAAGCGTTATTTCCTGCGAAAACAAAGTTTTCGAAAAATTCCTTAAGATATTGCCACAAAGAGAAATAATCTTTTTTGATGTAAAATTAAAATTGTATATTTAAGTGTTTGGTTTTAAGCAAATAATCAATAAAAATGAAGATGACTGCAGATTCTTAGTTAAATGCATGGAATATTTCAGGGTTGTATTCACACTTATATATTAACTTTTAAAAACTATTAAACGTCAGTGTTCCCAGTTTGGGAACTTGGCCCTTTTTTCAAAAAATAAAGATGAGCAACTTGATTTATTCTTAGCACTGATTTACATAAACTTCTTAGACTTCCAGAATATATAATTCATATCTATCTGAAATAATTTGTGAGCTAGTTTTTTGAAGGTGATAGCTCATAATAAAAATGTCTACTTTATTAAATCACAAATGTTGTACATTTTTTTTCCTTCTTAAAAATTGAGTTTACGGTATTATTCGCAGAAATTCGTAGGATTTAATATCAAGTGAGCTTAGCGCTCAGAAATTTTCTATTAAAAGGAAAACAAATAAGGAGGGGAGGGGGTGCAAAGTAATTTAACGAAATTCTCTCTGTATATAAGCCGTCAGCAAAAGTAGAAAACTGTTTCTCCCCCAATCGAGAACTAATCAATAACATGTTTCCGTCTAAAACGTGCTGCTACCGATGCCACACTTCGCAAACAAACTTCCACTCATTAAGACAATCGGCTCAGAAAGCAGCGTGATTCGTTTTAAGCACATCGTTTGAAACAGAACAGATAATTGATTTAATCTGTTGAACACTAGTCTGTTTTAGCTGACTTCAAATTCTTACAGTTTGTGCAGGGAGAATTTCAGAGTAAGGCCTAATACATTTGTGTAATGTATTGGAAACTAATTTATCATGCTAATTAATTTAGTACAGGTAATGAAATATTCTTAATCACCTAAAAGGAGTTTTGGAAAAGAATTTTTCGTTTGAATAAGCGAAAAAATAATTTTCTAAAAGACACAGGTATTTATCTGACAGATCATTTGTCTATATTGTGAAAATAAAATATTATTAATAATAATATGGCAGGGTTCGATAGCACTTAAAAAAAAATAGGCTGGTACCAATTGTGTTATAGCGAAGATGAAAATTTTTTAACATTAGTTTTCACAGTTTTTTTGAGCAAACGAAAAGATAAACAGATGTCTAGAACAGATGTTAAGCTGACAAATGACTTGTCCAAGTTTCAAAAATTTAAAAATAAATAATAATAGTAATGGGACAGATTTCGTAATCACTTTTAAGAGAAAGTACATTAAACTGATATAAATTGTCGAGGCTACTCTTTCGAACCATTAAGATTGAGTCCTAGAATGTGAAGATCCGTTTTTTATTTTGCGCACTGTACGTAAACATGCAGGCTAAGGTACTCATTGCAAAGAACAATGAGTACAACATCAGAAATGTACGGACACTCGGCCAGGGAGGTCCCTTTGCCAACCCAACAACTTATCAAAGATTCTAAACTCTTCAAGATATTTTTGTTTGGTACTAAAGATTAATATTATAAATATATATAATTCGGATCTAATTTTACATGTCTGCAATATTTTAAAACTAAATTGGTAGTCAACACCGTTGTAAGTGGCAGAATTCGCCAAGTGGATTTGCAGGGCTATTTTTATAAATCCAAATTTGTCTGTGACCTCAGTCATAGGTTATTATAGTAAAAATTTAGATTAATCTGACATACATGAAACAGTTTCAAATGAAAGATACTTGAAAATTTTAAGTAATGACTTTACGTTGTTTAAATTCAAGAACTTTTCAATGATTATTGAAAAGAGTTTAAGCTCATATACAGTTAAGCCTGTAATCAAGAAACTAAAGAAAAAAATCTGTACTTTTTTATTCTTAGCAGGCTTTTTTCAATTCTGGTTTTAAATCTTCATTCGAAACAACATAAGTTAAGATGTTTTAAAAAGAGGTCTCATCGATTTTATCCCTTTTATTTGTTTTCTTTGCAAAAAGAAAACTAAAACTTGGATGAAAAATAATCTGCAGATTCTGTATTAAGCTGCAGAGCACGCTACCGTGCTTCAGGGTTTATACTTCAGGGGTCAACACTAAAAAAATGTTGCAGCATAAACAGGGGTCTGTTTAGAAGAAATTTGGGTCCGTTAACGGACCCTTCACAAAATATCTTTTCATAAGAACGGACCCTTCACAAAATATTTTAACTTAAAAACGGACCCTTCACAAAATAATTTATCTTTTAATCGGACCCTTCACAAATTTGTTTATCTTCATTATTGTTTTGTTAATCGAATAAACCCTTCCCAGGGCAGAAAACAAGAAAGATGGATGTAAACGAACTAAGTTTTGTCTTCGGCAGACGCTTCTTCCTTTATTCGTCCGAAATGAATATTCTGCGTTCAACAGTATAGGCTAAATACCAAATATTTGTATGTTGCATCTCTAATTTAGTAGCAGCAATTGTTTATCTTTTAAAATTAAAATTTTTTTAATTATAATTTTACAGTGTCAAGCTTAATCTTGTATCTCTTTAAAATTGAAAAACTCCTTGAAAAAGTTTTTTTGCAATAACTGGACCCTGGTTGAAAGAATGTGACTTAACGTTTATTTCATATTCACAAATTACAAGTAATTTTTTCACAATTTTACAAAAACGGACCTTTCACAAAAAAAATGTCTGGACAGACCCCTGATATATGTCTTACTGCTTCTTTCATAATGGTATTCTTTTGTATCGTTGCAAAATGTTACTGCTACTTTCATAATGGTATTCTTTTACATCTTTGCAAAATGTTCTGCTTCTTTCATAATGGTATTCTTTTACATCTTCGCAAAATGTTACTGCTTCTTTTATAATGGTATTACAACTTTGCAAAATGCTACTGCTTCTTTCATAATGGTATTTTACGCCATTAAAAAATGTTACTGTTTCTTTCATAATGATATTTTTTTTACATAATTGAAAAATAATACTGTTTCTTTCCTAATGTTGTTTTTTACAACATTGAAGAAATGTTGCATTTTTGCAACATTAGCCAAAAATAAGTCAATTCAAAGGCAGGTTAATTAAAATTAATTAATTCATCTGTTTCGTATTATAATTCTAGAATAAATTGTGTTCAACCGAAGAAACTTAGTTATAAAAAATTAAGTTTATTAGTTCAGGATGAATATAAAACACTCAACTAGCGAGAAAAACCTATCATCGATAATTTCGAAGAATTTCTATCGATTTTTAGATTATTAAGTATCGTTTCGGTCATACTTCAATTATATCTGAGTTTAGCAGACAAGTTGGTGCCATCTCTGTTGAATCATCGATTTTTTAGAAAGCCTTTTTCTATAAAGCTTTTATTGCATTCCTTTTGCAGTGCTATTATGGATATGATATATCGATTGAAATATATCGATTATTGCCTTCACTATGCTGACCAAGAGTATCGTCTTTCATGGCTACAACAAAAATCATTTCAAGCGATGGAAATATTGAATATTTCAAAAATGTCATCATTATTATTCTTTTTTCTAAATTGCATCTTGTTGTAAATTGTTAGAGGTCATTTGTTGTAGCGATAGAGCAGTTACGTTTCTTTTTATACTGTATATGGTATGTTAAAAATATTTTATTCGTCGTTTGTCTTTGGCATTTTTTAGCATTTTTATAGTTTGTCTTTGGCATTAAAATTAACGTTAATTTTTTACATAAGAAATTAAATCAATTTAATTTTTGAAATTAAGTTAAATTTAATTTTATTAAAAATTTTAAAAAAACAGTAAAAAGTGGTAGCTAAAGTTATGGAAAGTTATAGTATTTATTTATGGAAAGGTCGATAATTTTGTCAACTTTATAAAAATTATTATATGTGGATCGGAAATCAAAACATTGTGTTTTTTCAAAGCTAAAGTGGTAGGTAACAGACAGAATTTTTCATTTATTCTTATTACAATTATTAGACATAAGTGTACTAGCATTTTTTTTTTTGTTAACGCATTTTTTATAATAATATTAGTATCCCCAATAATACTAGTATTAATGGGTTAAGAAGTAAAATTTATAATTAATGAAAACGTTCTTAAAATACTTACTACTGTCTTCTTATTAATGAAAATAAAGTCATTTAATTCTATTTCTTACACATACTAAAATAAGTTATTAACGATAATTTTAAAAAAACTGGAAATATTCGGGACAATTAGAAAATACTATAACTATTTAGCTCATAACCCAGTTTTTTTCCATGGCTTAAATTAAATTCTTTCCGACACGATTCCGGTATCTATTATAACTTGCAGACGACATTCTAATTTAAATTGATAAATTAGAAACTGACATGATTATTAATATTCCGTTTCGTCAGTTACCAATTTTAACTGTAACCGAAACCTAGACCGAAAATAACTTATGATTAATTATGGATCATGAGAATGCTAACTATTCTAAGCAGACGAAAAATATAATAAACTTTTTCATTAATGATATTCTTCGAAAAAAATCGTTTGCGTCAAATGGCGCTGAAATTTGGTTATTAGTGAAAGAAGGTTCTTGT